TCTCTTTCTCTCTCTCTCTCTCTCTCTCTCTCTCTCTCTCTCTCTCTCTCATACATAACACACACACATCCTCTGGAGGAGGAAGGGACTGACTCCCTTTTGGTTTTTTTTCAAAGCACGCAATACAAAATGAGATTTTAAATCAGGTAACAAATAGTTCTGGTTGTAGATTCTAGGACCTACATACTGGACTTGCACACACTGCTGATGAAGTGCCAAGATAATGAGATAATGAGATTAGTGGTAAAGACATACAACCAGGGCTACATTACCTGTGTAGTATCTTCCATCAGCCCACGGATCTTCTCTACTACATCGTTACGTCGGTGCTGGCGTAGGGCACTGATTAGCTGGGCCAGGCTGGCCTCAGGGCCCCGGATGGTCCAGTGCTGCAGGGCTGCGTAAGCACGCTCATGGTCTGCTGTGTATCCATTGGAGAAAGCAGCCACCTCCCTCTCGCTGGCGTTGCAAAGAAACTGATAGATGTCTTTCCACTGGCTTCCCACCTGGGCTGCTACAAGCTTCAAGATGTCAATACCTATTCCAGGGATGAAGTAAAATAGAAGGAAATTCAGGCATGTTCTAGAAGGAAGCTGCCCTGTTGTTCTGCGTCAGGGAAATTAATCACAAGTGTTTGGCATACACAGCCCACTGTGAGGCTAGCTAAACACTTTCACATAAAGTGTACTTCATGGAGTGGGGGTATAGATAGAGAGGTACAGCACCTGCCTACAGGCATGGCATCCTGGATTAGCTCCCCAGTAAAACATACACACACACACACACACACACATACACATACACACGCACAGAATAAATAAAATAGCATGAGCATGTTAACAGATTTGCTTCCTGAATGTGGATCCAAAAGAAGGGGGCAGCCCTTGGTAGTACAAAAACATCACCTCCAAAAGACACTTTTGAGCTATGCATGGTGGCATACGCTTTTAATTTCAGCAATTGGAAGGTAAAGGCAGGCAGATCTCTGTGAGATCAAGGCCAGCTTGGTCTCCATAGTGAGTTGCAGGCCTGCTGGGTCTACAGGGAGACCCTGTCTCAAAAACAAAAGATGCTTTTGAAAGCCAACCAAGCAAAGTAATCACAATTATTCCTTTGTTACTACATATTAAATACAACTATAATCAAATAATCAAATAGATTAAAAGCACCCAAACTCTAAAGGTGGTGACTTCATGAAAGTTATAAAAATAGAAGCCACAAATTAAGACTGCCGTGAACTTTATACAGCCATGGATGCAAAAAGACATCTATAAGATTCTAGGAATGATGTCCTTTTCTTTAGTTGACCACATACCCAACTGTTCTAGTCCAATGAAGTCATTGGACTGGAACAACTAACTTAGTGGGATATGGTGGTTCATGTTTGCAGTTCCAGCACTTGGCAGCCAGAGGCAGGAGGATCATGAGTTTGAGGCCAACCTTGGACAAATAGTGATACCCTGTATCACAAGGAAGAAAAGAAAAAGAAGACCATCCATCTTCTATGATTCTATGCTTCAGGAGCAATTTTCTACTCTAGGAGCAATTTTCTACTCTATTATTCAGTTTCTGAATTGACTTGCACAGTTACAATGTAGTTAACAGCCCAAATGACAGCATCATCATTATAATAATAGCTATTATCTTCCAAGAATTATGCTAAGGCATTTAGCTCATTGAACAACTTTACAAGGCATTAAATTCCAATTGTACAGTTCAGAAGAAGAAAAAAATCAGAAAAGTTAGGCTACCAACCCAATATTGCAAAGCTAAATGGTTAAGCACTGAACCCATCTATCAGCTTGGGAATTAGAATTCCCATAGTTACAACCTATTTAATGTGTAAATACATGCTACCTTGAAAAGGAGAGAAAATGTTTCTGAACAAATGACCAACGTTAGTTATTCCGCAAGATGTCTGTCCCCCAATAATTTAATATCCACTAGTCTTCCCTCATTCACAGTGTATGATCCAAGACATCCAGTGGTTGCTTGAAAACAGAGATAGTATTCAACTATGTAATTCAATACCTTTCCTTCCTAACTGAGCGCTTATCACATACTGTGGTCATGCGTTTTACAGTTTGAGTTGTGTGGTGATTTGAATGAGAATGTCCCCCCTAGGCTCCAAGTATTTAGTTTCCATTTGGTGGCACTGTTTGAAGAGGGTCATGGAACCTTTAGGAGGTACAACCATGCTGGAGGATGGGCTTTAAGAGTATATGGTCTCATCCTACTTCTAGCCTGCTTCTACTTCCTGTGCCTGGTTTGTGGATGTAAACTCTCAACTTTCTGCTCTGGGTGCCTCCTGCCGTGCTGGACTCACCATGATGGACTCTTATCCCTCTGGAACTATAAACCAAATAAACCCTTCTATAAGTAGCCTTGGTCATGGTGTTTTATCACAGCTACAAGAGAAGTAACTAATAGAAGGTGCAAGACAAAACTAGCATGTATTTCTTTCTTCTTTACAACTATTCCAGCCCAAGAGAATCATTCCCTAAGTACATTTAGTGGGACATAGCAGAACATGATTGTAATCTCAGAACTCAGTGGGCAGAGGCCGGAGAATCTTTGCAACCTCCCCATATGATTTTTACTTTATTAAGTTGGGAGCCTCTGTTTTCATTTAAAGGAAGTACTTCATGGTTTCCCTTTCACTTATCTGAATGGCTGGCATTACAACTCTGATCTCTGACATCATTAAGTGAAATGTGATATTTTGAGAGTCTCAACCTGATAAGCAAGACAGCTACTAAGTGAGTAGTCAGTGAGCAGGCAGCATATACAGTGTGTACACACTGCACAGAGTTGAAGATGTCCAGGCAGAATGACAGCAGATGCTAGACTTCCTCATGCTACTCGGAACAGCATTCAACTTGAAAATATGAATTATTTCTTAAATTTTCTATTTAACAATTTTTGGGGCCTGAGTTTACCACAGGGAGCTGGATCCACAGAGAGTGAAACTATAGGCTGGTGGGGGATAACTCCAAGGTCCTTCTGGTTCATCAGTCACTTGTAGATTCTGTGAATGTGTGTCTTGGTCCCCAAACCTCATGAATAAAGAATGAAATGCCAAAGCCAGATCTCAGAAGTGACAAACTCAGATAAGCACCTGGCTAAACCTCTGTGTGGCAAGTCTCTGTGGTATCTCCTACTATCTTCTTCCCGAAATCACAAGCTGGCTTGGCCTGAATTTATACACAGCATTTTATGTCAATAGGGGTGTGAGTACTCTGAAACAGTATTATTTCTTTGAATGAGGCTATAACCACATTCCCCTAACTGAGACTGTTAGTGTTAGCAATGTCTTAAATATTTCCTACTTTTTTTTTTTTTTTTAATGAGGCTGAGTTTCCCAAGTGAGGTTTAGGACAAAAGAAAGACCTTTTTTTTTTTTTTCTTTTTTTATCCTCCAATCAGTTGTTGAGGAAAATATTTATAAAATGACTTAGCAATTTTTGGCTAAGAACAATAACAATTATAGAAGTTTCTCTTAAAATTGATGAATTGGAGCTGGGGGTGGTGGCGCACGCTGTTAGTCCCAGAACTTGGGAGGCAGAGGCAGGCAGATCTTTGTGAGTTCGAGGCCAGCCTGGTCTACATAGTGAGTTCCAGGACAGCTGGGGGGGTCTCAAAAAGACCGAAAAAAAAAAAAAAAGAGGAGTTGGCAGAATCTCAGCATAAATTCTTACCCTACCCTGAAGTTCTACATACTAAATCAAACCTCAGAGTTCATACGTACATGCTAAATCAAACCTCAGAGGCAGTTCATACATACATACTAAATTAAACCCCCGAAAACTGACTTTGAAAGCTAAGCTTCTAATAGAAGTCTCCTTTCTCATTTACTGTAACACTAGAATGCCACAACAACAACAAAAAATGTTTAAAAATTTAAAAACATAGAGTGGCAGAAATTGAGACATGACCGTTCTCCTTCCTGGCAAGATGAGGCACATTGGAACCAGCTGCTTTTCAGTTCTCACAGCAATGTTTAGTCAGATGCAGAGCTTTTGATTTCAAGCAAACAAGACTCCTAATGGGGGAAAAAAAAACAAAAACCCAAGGCCTATTTAAAACCCCTGCAGGTAACCATAAGAAACAAGCCAGTTCTTTGTGGTTAACGTGGTAGACTCTTCCAAATGCCAAAAAGCTTGTTAGTCCCTGAATCTTAATTTAGGTCAATTTGACTAAGGCCTACAGTGTCTCACATGAAAACACGAGTGCTTCTTCTTATAAGGAGGCCCACTGCTTCTATCCTCACGAAGTCTGTGTGGCTTTGAGAAAACCACTAACTATCATGTCCATTTCCTCATCTTATAAAGGAAAGGCTCACTGTGGCCCCTGGGGAAGAGCTGATTAACAGTCTCCACAGAGTTAATTTATTTTGGGAATTACCCCCATGATTTTAAATGCTTCAATATACTGAGCATTAACACTTAAGGCTTAATACATTTCAGGTGCAAATACACACCCTTTATAGAGTAATTACAGAGCTTAAAAGGCTTAAGAACAGCTCCTCCAACCAAAACCTAGGATTCATACCTTTTTTTAAGCCACAAAAATAAAGAGGAAGGAGAAGGAAAATAGAAAAACACAAAAGAATGGATAGAATGAGATTTTCCCTTCAATTCAAATGAACTAAATGAGCTAAATTTAAATGAGTTAAATTTAAAACTTCCAAATCAAGTCTCTTCTTGCCCTCTCCCTCACTGAGACGTTCCCACTGTGAAGGTGTGGGGTCAACCCCACAAACTCACCTGGATCACTGGTGTTCTTTACCACTACCCCTCCCATTCCAAAGTTGGTAATTCAAAGATGGAGTAGACAATAGCTCCCTCAGGAGACAGGAGACCTTCAGCACATCATCACAAAAGCCCAGAGAAGAGAACACTTGACAGTCCCTGGTCTCCACCCCATGGAAAAGACTTAGGGAATATTTGGTGGGTGTTTGAGAAGCGACCACCATGTGTTAGGCTGCTCATTACACAGATGGATAATAACCTTCTGAAATCTGTAGACAGAGGACTCTATCAACAGGAAAATGAATCAACACCTAGAAACATAAAATGGTCAGACTTTGAAACTTTTTCTTTTTAAAAAGGTTGTGCTGGGAAGGGGGGTCGGGAGATGGCTTGTCAGGTAAAACGCTGCCCAACAAAGTGTGAGGACCAGAGTTCTGATCCCTAGCACCCACATAAATGCTGGGTGGGCTTGGTAGTCCACCTATAATTCCAGTGCTTAGAAGGTAGAGACAGGGACTCTTCAGAGCAAGCTAGCTAGCCAGATTGTCAGTGAGCTCTGGGTTCAACTGAGAGACCCTGCCTCAATGAGTAAGGTAGAAGGGTGATAGAGGAAGACTCCAGATGTCAGCCTTGGGCCTCCATACCCATGCATACACAGGTGTATGAACGTTCATGCACACACAAGCACACCACATACACAGACAGATGAAAAAAAGCATTAGGTAAAAAAAGAATCAATACAATTATAGAGAAAATCAGTAAGATGATTAATTAAATTGAGATAGTT